CCGCTGACTCTGGCCGACTGAACATCATTCATACATTCATACATTGATTGTTTCAAACTGATTCTTTCAGTTCTGGAATACTTTGACAAATATGTGTTTCCATGCAACTTCCAACAGCTAGATATTTCCACACACATTAACTTTCTTTCCTCTTAGGAAGGAAGAAAATTTCAGCATTCGCTTGTAGCCAACACTGAATCTTACAGGAATCGATCATTTTCTTTCAACCCTAATAGAGGATTCTTGACTCCTTCCACGAAGGTAAGATGGGCAAAGCAGTTAAAATCACAAATCATGGTGTTTTATTGCTACTTGAATCATACAGATGATCAGGACAATAAAGTCCTATTACTTTTTTATGATAATGTTATTCAGTAGAATTCTTTCCAGTACACCAGCTTACAATTGGGTGCTGAGTCTAACATATATTCAGTAGAAGTATGGATGCACATGGATGCAGGTGGTTAAGCAAATATAAACACTAGAACCCCAGAGAGCTCAGTCTTCCACTGGGATAAACACAGCCATTACTTACAGATTTGGGAATTGCTGTTTGGGATATTGCATGCATCAGGCATGGTTGTGAATTGGGTTTGGGCTGTTCAGGATTTGCCCTTTGTTATTCCAGCCCCCTTGTATGATACTGTCTATAAATTGTCATGGAAAGAAGGGAAGTCAGGTTGGTGGAAAGCACCTAACTGCGTTGAGTTTAGATGCATCACCTTTGATGCATCTAAAACCTCAAGGTCAAACACACAAGTTGTAATTGGAATACCTAATCCATGGATCCTCACAGCATACCCTGAGAAGTTATTTTAAATGCCTGTGAATAGGTGGGAATCTTAATCTTGGAGTGCTCCTCACAAGATATCGAGGAATGAGGTACTGTTGAGGTTTGAAAGTGTTCATGTGTGTGTAATGAAGTTTTCTGTTACAATAAAAAGCAGCAGAAGCAAACGGTTGAGGTGCCCAGTCGTGTTGTCAGTGTTCCGAATTTGGCTTCCTACGCAAAGAGCTTTCTGAGCTGTGACTTGAGACCAAAACGAAATGCTCCTCAGATAACAAAATCTACGAGCTTAGACCGGAGTCCTGGCTGCCTCAGGGTGGGCTCTCCATCGGCACAGTCCTCGGACAGCAGTACTGCCACAAGGTATTTGTCCATTTTGCAGTGACTGGTAGATGATGAGTGAACTGGTGTTCAGAACCCTGTAGGCAGTTCAAACACATTAGGCATTTGGAAATAAACGACGACGTAGGGTTCCTGCCGTGCAGTGGACTCCCTGTGTTCAGTTCTCTGCAGGTAGGCCCAGAACTTACTGCTGAAGTAGGCTGGAATCACTGCCCAGCAGAGCTTACGCGTGGTACAAAAAAGTCAGGAGTTGCACGTATGTAAGAATGTAGTTGATAGGGAACGTGGCTGCTCCTAACTTTGGGCACGTACCAGCGGTTCTGCTAAGGATGTGTTTTCCTTACGTTTGTTACCTCACTTTGCATTTGGTAGGTGTAGGTTGCATGTTTTAATTTTAGGACATACTGCAATGAGTGTAGACTAATCAGTTGGCAAAGGGTTTGGAGATTAAAAAACTGATTAGCAAATACTTAACTAAAAACTTCTTAGTGGTTTATAAACGTGACTGAACTATCTCAAGAAATAGTTTAACGTGTATGTAGTTAACGTTATAAATACTAACCCCTGCCTACCACTACCCTTGAGGCCCAAAGCCAGCCTTCTCACCTGTCTCCTAGTAGAGATTAGTTATCCTGTAAATTGTGCGCTACCCGGTTCTTCCCTTGAAGGCAGATGGTGCCGACTGCTGCCAAGGACATTAACCCAGGACATGGGCTTGGATCCAGTTTGGCAATACCTACATCTTACAGATAAAAGCATCCTGTGTCATTCCAGATGACTGCCAAGGCACATCAGATTTGTATTTTGAAGGGAAATGCACAGGGAGACTGAGAGTACCTTGGCTGCTACTTACTTACTCCTAAATCAATCCTAAGTTAAGTGCTATTTGCTGCTATAAGCTAACCAAAATTAATACACGTGTTAAAAAAGCATCCTGAACGCTGAAAAATCAGGGACTGTGTAATAGGATTGATTATAAAAGCCAGTTAATATTCAGATAAATCTTTCCATTCCAAATAAAACTCTCACCCAGCATTTTTAATGCATAAATTGAATTTCATATTTTTAAGAGTGAATTGCAGCTGCCATGTTCTGATTCTCAAGACTTCCTATTCTTGAAGCATCCTTGTTTTTCTTATGAGATGTCAAGAATTATATTCAAGGACTTCTCCACAGCTGTTGAGCTCTCCTTTGTGCTTTCCTCCGTGTTACTACGAGTGCTGTTAGCCCAGTTACCTGGCTAGCACAGGTCCCACTAGAAATTGTAGCTGGCACCTTTTGGCCTCATCCAGTTCATGTGAGCACAGGTCCATTCCTGGGGTCACAGAATTTCCAAGGGAAAATTATTAAATATTGCCAAGATTGTGAGTGATGCTAATGCTTATTTGTTTGCACAGGACACACGGCAATGAACCACCACAAACCAAAGATGAGCAAAACCAAGACCCTAAGCATCAAGAATGGTTTACTAAGTATTTTTCATTTTAAAGCAAACGATTTCCGTATTTCTCAGAATTATTAGAACAGCTGTTCCTGTTTTCTTTTAGGAAATGATAATCCAATATATGATTTAGGGGAAAAAAAAAAAGTAATTTCCAAGTAATAATCAGAAACAACCGCAATCTCTTACATCTAATTACTACAGATTTATAGGCATGGATTACAGCAAACTGCATTTTTTTTTAACTACCTCTGTAAAAAATGAAGAAAAAGCACCATTCCAGGTACTGTTACATGAAGAGACTTTTTAATCAAGAGACTGTACCTCGCCAGAGTTACATTAAATATGCAATTCGGTCTCTGATGCGTCCTGTCAATCTGGCTGCAGCTGAAAACAGACCTCACTTCTGTAGGTGATTTCTGTTGGTTTGTACGTTTGCTTCATCAGCTGTTTAAAGTGATTTCTGCATTTTAATGTCATTTTTGAAGTTTCTAATAGGTTTTTATTAAACTTACTCTGAGCTGTACAGCATGCAGTACCCCTGAAGAACAGCAGGTTTGTAGCAGGCTGGTTCAGAAATACTGTGTGGTTTCCTTAACGAACTGGTTTGTACAGTCAGCATTGCAATACAGCGTTCCTGCTGCACTTCAGTACATGTAACAATCAGCCTGATAAATCAGGATAATGTATAAGTATGAACATTAAAACTTGCTTCTGAATCATCCACTTCCATGTTTTGCAAAGTAGCGCTGTTACGCCGGAGCGCGAGTCAGAGTCCAGCTGTCCGGGAGCTGCGTGCCTGTGCATTTCCCCTCAGTACTGTTCCTGCGCCAACCTAAACGCAAAGCGGGCGCATGACTCCGGGCATCAGACCGTGCTAGCTAACAGTACTGGAAGGAAGGACACCCACAAATTAACCCTCAGGTAATTCATCCCCAAGTGTGAAACACAGGGAGTTGTGCAGCCAGCAGCCCAGAGTTCGCCTTCAGCTGCGGTGCGATTCAAATCCTCATTTATTTCAACCAGCAGGGCCCAGCTGCATAACAAACTCTGTGTGAGCCAAGAGGCGTTCCGCCAGCCTAACCTCTTCATCTCCCGAACAGCCAGCAAGAACCGTACCAACAGCTGCAAGCACGCAACAGCCACTGCCCCTCACCTGTGGAAAAACACGGCAGAGAGGGCAGAACGCTTCTGCACGCCACTACTTTCAGCCCAGCTGGTTAGTATTTTTTCCAAGATGAACTGGTTGGTTTGGAAGGAGACTTTGGCATCAGATTTGGCAAAAAGGCGCTTTTTATACACGCAGTCAAGAAGGCGATAAAAAGGTGTACGGCAACACTGAGGAGTGCCTTCATATCAGCTCAGAAATGTACAGGGCTGGTTTTCATCAGTTTTCATCCACTCTGCTCCTAAAACTTTTCAAGCACACTAGGAAGGTTCAGTACGCAGTTACTAAACTTCGTATCTAAGGTTACAATATCAACTGTCCCCACAATGGTGTCCCTAGAGAGTGGCTTTCCTGGCTATAGTAAAGTGTAGCAACACAGAAACAGGATTCCATTGCTGTTTCTACCTCCACAGTCTGGTTTTTGGCTACAGTCGCTAACTAGCGCACCCACCTAGAAGCCCAGTCTGTAGCTGGGACAGTGCTGATGACCCAACATGCACCCTGACCAGTCTTTAACTGGGGTGAGGTATTTTGGACCACCTCCATACTAGCCTGACAGAACCAGGAACACTGGGCCTGCATTGTGTACCCCCTCAGGGCGCAGTTTCATTTCAGCCTGTAAGCCTCAAATCTCTGTATCCTGAGACCCCTTCATCAGGTGAGCAAAAGTCCAGTGGCGACGGACAGTTCACTTCAAAAAGTACACTTCTGATCTGACCCAGACAGTTCTAAGGGTGCTTCTGCAGTGCTACTTAGGGAGAATTACTGGATGGCAAAACATTTACATCTGCCAGTAAAAGCAAACACTCATCTTTGCAAGTGTTTTCCTCACACCAGCAAAGATACAGCTAGGAGCAAGCTTCAGCCACCCTTTCTAGAAGGAATGGGATGCATTCCAGAAAGCACCCTTCTGCCAGAAAGCATCCTGAATGGCAATTCTGCACAATGGCCAGTGAAATAAAAAACCAATCCATATTTTTTGGGGGAAAAAAGTTTATTTCGCTTAACTGTCTTAACTATTTATATCTGTAGTACAAATTACATTATACAGAAAGCATACAAATATAAAGAACACCACTGCTCTGCATTGCTGAAAATCTCTAGGTATGTAAACCCAAAGATCACGTTTGCTTCATTGGAGCAGGAATATTAGCAGATGCTTGTTCCAAGTACGCTAACGGCCCTTGAGGCATTTCTGCAGGCTTTTTGTGCTGTACACTGATATCTTCCAGGACCTGCTGCCAGTGTCGCAGTTTACCCAAATGCTTCTGAATTAATGCTTCTTTTCTCTGCAACTCATTTCTTAATTCTGAAACATCCTATGGATAAAAATAAAGTGTACTGGTAAACAGACAGTATTCCCGAGAATAACCACCTCACATGAAAGAGCAGGTCACTTTTTAGCTTGAGTTGTCAAGCTGATCTTACGGGGATTCTGATAATGGGAAAGTGTCTGATGAAAGAGGGCAAGCCCTGTGAATGCGCTGGTTCTATTCCCCTAGGTCACGTATTTCAGAGATCATTACTTCCAGCAAAATTTGACCAACCAGATTGTTTCTTCCAAGCAAATGATCATCTGCGTTCCAACACGCCATAGGACAGCAGGCGTACAGCTTCCCCCATGTTCATGGTGAGAGTGCTGTGTCCACCAACCTACAGCATTGTGCTGAGAAACCCCAAATCATTGTGAAGGAGGTGACTGACTGCACCAGTACACAGCTTACCTGATCCAGCACGACACCGCGACATGAATTCAAACATACCTCTTTAATCACTTGCTCTGGTTTCTGCACTGACAGCTGTAGTCGTTTTTGTAGAAAGAAGCATTCCGTTTGTCTTGCAACATCCAGAAACTTCTGGATGCACTGATCAACACCTAAATATTAAATAACAACATAGAACAGATTCCAAAACCAGACTTTATCGGGCTGATATTGGTAGCTCTCTGCATGCTATCAAAAGCACTTTTCACAGTACCTCCTAGAAAGATGATCTTCAGGTTTACCAAAATGATGTATTTATAAAAGCAGGATATGCATTAAGTCCCTGTATAAAACACTGCCTTGCAAATTTTCAGAATTTACGTTAAAGGGCCAACACAACTCTTTTCCCTAGCTTTATTACATTTTTCACAATGACAGGAGTGATAAAACAATCTGTGGAACCTGGCTGAATAACGAAAGCATTTCACTGTATGCCCAACGAGCTCAAGGTAAGGTTCTAAAATAGGGGCATATTTAGGAGAATGTTCTGCCTTTGTACATTGCACACTACCATGTTGGTAACAAGAGCTGTCCCCTTCCAGCAGAGAACATGACCCAATATCCAGTTTCCAAAAGCATTTGCCTGTGTGCTGGGTTCACCCAGGAAGGAGTTAACTCTCTTTACTGTGGCTGCTAGGAAGCTGTTCCTGGATGCAGGGAGCAGCACTGATAAGTTCTTAGCTGGCCTGGGGAATGCCTGCACTGAATTCAAGGTCTTTCTCAGCTTCTGATCCTGCAGCTGCGTTCCCAGCTCTTGCTGTCTCACTACAGGCAGTGCTGGGACACACAGTTCAGGCACCTGATCCAAACTGACCAAGGGAGTATTTAATTCCATAGTACGTCATGCTCGGGGCAGAGGGGAGGAGGGGGTCCGGGAGCCTTTACTCTCTCCCTTACCTCTTGCTCGTTTACTTCCTGGCACCTGCTAATCCTCACCCTGACTCCTGCGTTA